TTTTTTGATTTGGACAATACTAGGGTTTGCCCTCAGTGTCCCACACTTGCTAGGCTGGGCTCTACCACTTGCATCACTCCCCCGGCCCTTTTCTTTTCAAAAGATCAAGTGATTTTAATACATCCCCAAGGTTCAAAAATAAGCTGTAAAAGATGGTAAGAAAATGTTAGCTTGCCATTGCTATGATAAGCTTTTAGGATGAGTTTTAAAACAAAATGAATTCACATAGAAAATATGCATATGCATATTAAAACTCATCCAGATTTAAATCTGTGCAGAGAAAAATTTCTGACACCTTTTCCAGAAGCTTTGGGGAAGAGGTTGGGAAAAAGGATGTGTGCATTTGAAAGAACCTGTAGAGTTAAATATCATATGCCTAAAATCAGGAAACTTAGACTGCAGACTTTGTTTCCAATCTCCCAAAAATCATTCAACTGCACTAGGCTTCAATGTGATATAAAGAGGTTAAATCAGATAATTTTTTAACATCCATTATGCTAGGATTTCTCAATAGTACCACCCCTGACCTTTTGGACTAACTGTTCTGTTATGGGGAGGGTGTCTTTTCCTGGGCATTATAGGATATTTAGCATCACCCTTAGTCTCTGCCCACTCAGTGCCAGTCACACTCCTTCCATTCTCCCTCCCCCAACAAATATGACAACCAAAAATTTCTCTGGATATTGCCAAGTGTCCCCTGCAGCGCAAAGTCCTTGCCAGTTGAAAACCACTGCTTTGTAACTTAATTCTATGATAACTGCCCTGTTGCCAATAGCAACCTCTTCCATTTTTTTCTACATTTTTTTTCACACAGCTCAATCTTTTGAGTCTTTTTAAAAAATTACCATATTATTGTTGTATCGGGGGTACATTGTGACATTTTCAAAAGTTCTTACAATATATCATAGTTGAATTCACCCTCTCCATCATTCTCCTCTCCATACCGCGCCATTCCTGGAATAGTGTCAACAGGTCTCATTTTTCCATTTTCCTACATGACTACATAACATTTCCACCACATTCACCATCCCACACCCTTTCCTTACGTCCTCCCCCCTCCCATTGGTACCAACCCCCAGACCTGACCTGTTTTACCTTCTTATTCTCCATTTTTGAAAAAAGACATTTTTGTTTGTTTAAGATAACTGTGCAGGAATCTGCATTTACATGCTCTCCCTGCTTTTCCTTTACCTAATCAAAAGACGTAGAAATCAACTTTTGCACACATTACACAGAGGCAGATTGAAAGTTGACCTCTAACTAGAGGTGAAGTAGATTAATGATCATAAACTATGTGACAAAGTTTCCTCACCCAGCTTGTGAGGGGCGAAGAAGGCCATTAGACTAGGCTTCGTTTTACACTAATATCTTCACAAACCTGGCCTGTCAGGGAAAATTGAGGGCAACATGTTCTTGACTTCCCCATTTTCACCACTGAAATACGTTTTCCCCAAATGCAAGTATAAGTAACTGACATGCTTGTTATATTTGTATGTGAAGAACCTAGAATATGAGATATTTGCTTTATTTCTTCTATGAAATATATTTTTAAAAGTACAAACGTAGTTGTTTGCAATGTAAAAATGTCATTCCACTTTAAATTCTATTGACTCATCTTTTAGTAGTTATATTTACTTTAACTCAATAAACTTACCATGTGTGTATCACCTGATTGGTATTGTTCCAGAATGGGTTTTATTTTTGCAGACTGGTGGCAAAGTAAACTGCAAAGTTTCTGGGAACTGACAAGAAGCAGTAAGCTAAAAACCTTAGAAACTATACCCAGGATAAAGGTTTTCATCTTCAGTATTTTCTATCCTACAGCTTAAAGAAAGCACAGATTTATTTGAAAGTATACTGGTGGGTGCTTGCCTACTGTGCACAAGACCCTAGGTATGATCCCCAGAACCATCAAATTAAAAAATTGAAGGAAGTTCTTACAATAAAGGGAAAAAGACTTACCACTTTGTAATAGACATCTTTTGTTCTTTTTTTAATGAGGGGATTTCATTGTAATAATTCTGTAATGCATACAATGTACTTTGAACAAGTTCACTCCCTCCATTATATTTCCATTCTCTCTCTTCCTCTTCCACCCTCTTTCAAACAGTGTTTGCTGGGCTTCATCATGCTGTCTTCATGTGTATATATGTAGTATACTTCTATCCTCTTCACACCCAGTGTCCTTTCCTTTTCCCTCTGCCCCCCTCACGCCCCATTGATTCCTCCCCCTGACTTTTCTTTTCTTATGCAGTAACATTTATCATAGAAATATGTTCTTCAAAATCTAAGATTTCACTTTACCATACAGAGTCAATGAATGCCACCATATAAAAGTTTTCAAGTTATGAGGAAGTAAAGCTACATGAAGGGTTCTGTTTACTTTCCTAGCAATTCATTTCTAGTTATACTTCATTACCACCATAAGTTTTTCTTTTTTTTCTTAAAGAGACCTTCTTTCTGTCTATAATAGCATACTCTTAGAATGAATGGTTTTGAAACCAAGTGGTGATAGTCACACCTGCTACACATGTGATTTCAGACTTAACCTTTAAGAGCACTGGTGTGGGGAAGAAGTGCCTGAAGTAATTGTGGGGGTGGGAACTGCATAGGCCTGCAAGTCAGAACTATGTCCAGGCTAGACTCTGTCACTGCTTATTGTTGACTTTGGGCAAGCCCAGTGGTGAGCCAGACCTCAGTTTCCTTAATGTGCAATGAGTTGTAGCCTTCTAATGACCATCCTAACTCTGATTCTTTCTATATCCCTAATTAAAAGTCACTTGTATACTTTTTTAAAATATATCTGTCCTCCTCCAAATTTCTTTCTTGCTACTACAACTTGGGATGCTAAACTTGAGACATAATTAAGTTAGGTTTTTACTTTGTATTCAAATAATTCAAATTTCCTTATATAGCCCAATTTCTGTTCTTTAGATTTTAATTTTGAGTTGTCTTTCTCATGACTGGAAATGTATCTTTGAGTACATTTTTCCCAGACTACTATATTTTCTGAGAATTTGCATGTTTGAAAAATTCTTTCTGTGAGCTTATTGCACATAAACACCAGCTCATCTAGATGTAAAATTCACGCATCCTTTGTAATATGCATTGTGTTTCCTCAGAGCTGTGAAAATTGCTCCATTTTTATCTCACATTTACCTTTCTTCAAGTGACCTACAAAGCTTTTAACCTGAATGATTTCCGTAGGAACACACAACAGTCTATTTTGTTCATAATGAAATACCCTGCACGTTTCATAATACATGCCCCAAAATAAGCACTGAATGCTCTTGAATGGCTTTCTTCTCTTTCAGTTATTCTGGTTTATCATTTACAGTGACTCTTCTGACTTCCATGTCCAATATTTTCTCTTCTTGTCATCTTCATCTTTTTATTCATTTGTTCTACATATTATAGTCTCTAAATTTGCCATATATACAACTGGCACCACTTTCTGCAGTGTCAGTTTTGTTCTTCATTGCTTGCAAAGGAGATTTACATCTTGTCAATGTGCGTTTAAATCTTTGAATTTTTAAAGTTAATCTCAATCTGATATCTTTTCATTTTAGATTTGTGTTTTTGTTTCCTTCTTTTTTTTTTGTAATCTTATTTTCTTAACCTTTTTCCAATATCATATTGAGAATATCAGGAAAATAGTTTTATAAAAATATCCTAAAATAAATTCTTAATTTTCTCTTTCCTCCTTAACTTCAGATGAATTGTTCCCTAATTTTCTTTTATGTTTATCTTTTAACAAGAAAAATATATACATATATATTTAGAATTTGTATCTTTCTAGTAGATTAAAAAACAAACAAAAAAAACTAGAAATTAAAGGAACTTTCAAAGAGAAGAGAAGATAGAATTTACCTTGTGATGAATTAGAGTAAACATACTCTGTCATCCAGTTTGTGAGTACAAAGAGCCAGGAAAACCCCCTCCTCCTAAAATAGCACTTGTTCAACTAATACATGCTAGAAATTAGCCAGGGAGTTCAGTTGACTTAAGGCACTTTAGATGCAGATACCATCAGTGCTGTACACCTTCACATAATTGCAGATAATGAGCTGTCACCTCTTCACGTGAACTAGATTGTCAAGTCACACGCTGAGAGCACACTTGAACAAACAGGAGGACATCTAATTTCCGCAGGAATTGGAGTAGAGGAGTAGGCATCAAAAGAAGAAAAAGCCCATAAAAAGTGAAGCTTGCAGACACAAAAAATAAACATTGCTCACCTCACAGTTTAGCCCACAGTGTCTCAACAATGCCAGTCCCATTCTTTTAAAAGTTCAAAAGAGATTATCCTACCAATTCTGAATTGAAGGAGCCATTCCAAAAAGAGCTCTGAGAATGCAAGGAAGTGGTCATTTTGCTTTTTTCTATATGCATTAAAAGTTAAAAGGGGAAAAAAGAAAGATAGAAAATTTTGGTTGTCCAAATTACTTTTTTGATAGATGTTCTAAATTTAATGTTGCCAAATATTTATCAGGTGCTGTAGTTGATATTTGAATAATTATTATGGTCTTTACATAATTCCTTTCCATACGAAATTATGGCTTATGCATACTATTTTTTATTGATGTTTTACAAGACTTCTTTGTTCTGTACTATATTGCTACAGTTCTCTGTTTCTATAAAGATCACAGGAATAACCCATTGTTCATATTTCTTCTACACACCTACCATTTCAGTAAATTCTCATGTGCTCAAACTGTCATCTTGCATTTTTTTATAATTAGCCAAATTTACTTTTGAGTACATCCTTGTATTCATGTACACAAATGTTTGCAATGTATGTGTAGCATAACTAGAAATACCAAGTGTCTTCTTTTAAGGAAATAATCTCAGCACCACAAAACCAAGAAATGATAGTAGAGGCTGTTCTTTATCATGTAACCTTTGTTTTGAGTTGTCTTCTAGGCTGGGGTTGAGGAGATTGGACTCGTTGTCCAGTGAGTGAAAATGTGACAGGAGCCCTTTGTATCTCTTTCTTGTAGATTCTTTACAGATTAAAAGAAAGGTTTCAGCTTTCCTTGAGACAAGATAAAGAGAAAAACCAGGAAATCCACCTATCACCCATCACATTACAGCCTGCGCAGTCTGAGGCAAAGACAGTCCACAGCATGGTCCAGCCTGAGCAGGCGCCAAGGGTGCTGAATGTTGTCGTGGATCCTCAAGGCCGATGCACTCCTGAGATCAAAGCTACCACCTGTGCCTCTGTCTGCCCTTCTCCTTTCAAAATGAAGCCCATAGGACTTCAAGAGAGGTAAGAGCTTTACCTCCACATGTTGCTTTAAAAACAAAAAATAGTATCCATCAAAGAAAAAAGATAGAACTAGAAATGATTGACATAGTCATAGAAATGACCAGTGGACACCAGGAGGAAGAAGCACGTTCTTGTCCCTCAAAAGAATTCATCTGTGCTAGAGAAAACCTTTTAGGTACATCTCATTCTGTTATACTTGTGTAGGCCCAAGTAAAGTGCATCTTCAACTATAGAACAGTTTCTATCACCATTTATTGAGTGATTTTTGAGGGTCACTAACGAAATGTGAAGTTATCTTGTTTAATTGTTATCAAACTCTGGCGTAAAGGGAGTGGGAATAAATTTAAGAATGTTTCCTGCCACAGCCTACATTCTTTGAGGTCTTGCAGGAGTTCATGCTACAAATTAATAGCTTTAAAAATTTCCCTCTGCTTCCTGTGACCACAACAAACATTAACTACCAAAGCCTATGACATTTTTGTTACCTTATCTGCTTTTGGGGTCCACTTATTCATGTAGTACTTGATACTGATACACTTCTATTTAAAGCAAGTCCAATGTAACAAAACTAGAATATAAAAATACATAAACGTGGGGCTAATTGTTTGCTCCCTCAAAATATTAAATAAAGCTTTTCCACGGGGTTTCTTAAAATAAGTTTCATTTTCATATTTAAGATAGTATTTATAGTGTATCCAACATTGTACCCCAGGGTAGTGGAGAACTAAAGCCTCAAGGTACATTCTCTTCTTATTTTCTATCACTGTCCTTTTTGTTCCTTATATTTTTAGATTACATATGCACATTTTAATCATATTTCTAATGATGAGTAACATTATCTGATGAAAATATCATGGTTTACATATTTACATGATTTGGGGCTTTCAGAACAGCAGAAGACAAGATAGGTCACTCAACAATCTTTGAAATTATTGTCAATGAACAATGAATGATGTGAAAAGACTTGTTGCAGTGATCTTAAAAGGCCTTTAAAGGGCAAACACTCTGATGCCACACCACAGGGAATAATCAAGAATAATCAAATCATTCTTTCTACCTCTTCCTCCAAAATGCCCTTGGTTTCCTGATAGATTCTCTTGAGCCTTCATATGACATTCCCTTACTTGGATATCACTAAATTAGTCTCGCAGATTCGGTCTGGAAAGATAGACAAGATGGACTTTTCTCCTGGAAGCAAAGTGAGAGAAAAACTGGGTTGTAGACCCAGGCCTGACATGCCAGGATTGGGTGACCTCACATGAGTAGATCACTCATCTAGGCTTCACCTCCTTCTTCTAAAACATGAAAGTATAATCTTGACTTCTCAGTTTTGTTGCTCTTAGGCATTTATGTTTGCTTCAAATAGAAAACTTGCAGCAGGGAGCATTACTGGTGAACCAAAAGCAGAGTAGTCAGAAAGGTCTGCCCAGTTGCAGTCAGTAAGGGGGTATATAGTCTAAAGAAGACTTAAAGATTATAATAAACTGACAAAAAGTCAGGCTAACTTTATTTACCACCATGCGCCAGCAATTCTAAGTAAGGTCAATGTAAAATCATCCAGGGGAATAACTGTTCCTTCCCTTCATAGACTACCATTAAGCATGTTTGAATTCCGAGGGGTATAAGGTTAGGTATTCATGTATTCATTTAATTGAAATGAATACTTGAGAAGGAAGAACCTAGAGATGGTGTCTTCCTCATCTTTATGATCCATGTGGAGACTCCAACAGTGCAAGTGCCTCATCAATGTTAAATAGTTTCCCCAGCCCCTGACCTACAATTATCCCTGCACCTCACCTACCCCTACCCCTCCCTCTTCCTGCCAGCTTCAGAGCTGGAGATGGCTGTTCTCTCCACAGGACTCCAGGTCATTGCCTCCCAACTTCATCAGTTTTTCTCCTCTATTGTCAGCTGAACCTTCTTGGCTATTGCTATCCCCTCAACCTAGAAACAAGTCCTCTTTTGTGTCAAAGAAACACCCTTAAAACATTCTTTCTCTGGTTCTTGTCTTTTCTTCCCTTCTCAAATACCTTTAGCTACACAAGACTCCTTTCTCTCACTCACCTCAGAGTTTCACCCTGCATCTACTTCTCTGCTTCCTGGGTAATCTAACCACAACCACTTCTTCTCATGCTACTTTTACACTGGTGGTTCCAATTCAAATCAGCCTCTCTATGGGATCCAATCCATTTTCTAGCTCTGAACTGAACATCTTCTACTGTGCTCTTACTTAATCACAACCAATTTGAAACATTCAGAAATGGAACTTAAACGTTCCTCATGAAATCATTTCTTTTTTTGTCTTTAATTCTCAATCTCATAAATCTGGTAATATCCTCAACTCTGTTTTTTCTTCTTTTCCATACTCTATGTAGCCAATGAAACCTGCTGCCTTTTTCCCAGTGTCCAATCCCAAAACCACTGAGAACTCAAGACCTCCCATTTCTCCTACTGTTCCTCCTGTCCCAACTGCCTTGATATCATCAAACTGCTATTTGCTAAAACATTCATTATGTCTTTGATCCTAAGAAGACCACTCAGATGGTTGCTAAGTCACTCCTTATTGCTATTCACACAACCCCTCCATTTCTAACAATGGCTTCCTCTGCTTCCCTCTCTCAGCTATGTCCAGCCCACTCTTAAATACCCAAGGATTATCTCACTGCTCTATCCAAAGGAAGCAAAGGAAACTCTTATATGTCTAAGACTCCATCCCCCAAACACCTTCCTGCCACTTCTTCACATGAGTCTACCTCATGCTGAAGGTCTCCCGTTTCCCCAGGGCTCAGCCACAAAAGACAAGTTCTCACTGGTGCTTGCGTTCATCCTCAAGACATCCCCCTCTAATCCTTCTCCTTCCCCTGAATCCACAGGCTCATTTTCAGACTTTGGACTAGAAAATCCTGCTCTAACTTTTTTGCATTCTACCTTATCTGACACCCGTACCTTGAGACAGGTCCTTCCACTAAAGACCTGACCTTTAGAACTTAAAGCCCAAGACAGAACTCAAATTTCTCTGCCTTCTGCTTTCACATTCCTTCCCACAGGCAGTAAAACACCAAACAGCCTGGCAATCTGAAGACAGGGAAGGTCCAAAGGTAAGGGGAGGGGACTAGAAACAGGGGAAGGGAAATCCGATCATCACTTCCTCTTGGAAACCATTTCAGACTCACCCTACCTCCCTTTTCTTCTTCTTGGCACTGACTCAACAACTCCACGTCTGCTGCCCTCTGCTGTAGTCCCATAACCTCGTGCGTAGTGTTTACAGCATTTCTTGGGTATATTGTAAATTTTAGTTTGCTCATTAGTCTTAGTCACTAAATTCTGAACTTCTTGGGGACATATGATTTAATGCTTTCTTTATCTCTTACATGTAGAATATAGTCCCTGAGGAGCAGAAGTTCCTGCAAATGAATGAATGAATGAATGAATGACTCTCATAAGTAATTCTCAAGTCAACTCCCAGTACCTATAGAGAAACACTATGCTACTCCAACATCCCTTCCTCTTCTTTTCTCACTCCCATTTTTCAGCCATAATTCCCCGCTAACATGATGTAGTAAATAACTTTAAGAGTGATTAAATATGAAGGATATGTAGTGTGCCTTGTACTCAGAAAAGTTTTCTGACGGTCTTAAGCCTTAAAAATTTATGCTTATGTATTCTAATGGTTCCTTTTAAATAGCCTCATGTTTTAATCTCTATCTCTTGATCCTAGGGTAAAGTAATAATCTTCTACTTATTGCATGAGTCTGGCTATGAAGCCATGAGATCATAAAGGCTTCATTATGAATCATTGTCCCAAAAGACTTTTGTACCTTGCTACATAAATCTCTCCTCTCCAATACAGAGAATTGATTTCCTTGATGTTTTTAATAATAAAATATATTTTAAAAATTAAAATATAAGGACTAATTGCATATGCTTAATGGAATAAAAAATATAACTTAAAATTGTGAAAACTAAGGTTAATATAAGATTGAAGAACCTTATAAGGTGAGGATTGTAATAGTTCTCTTTTCACTATTTCTAATTAGCTACCAATACTTACTGCTTTCTTGCTTCTCCAACTTTCTCATTATTGATTCTCTTTAGTCATCATCTCACTGAGACTGGAGCTCATTACTTCACAATTAAATTGTTGTGTCTTCTGATTATAAAAATTATGCTAGGACTAATACATGTCATATATTTTACATATATTATGTTATTTCATCTGTCTATAGCTAATTATTTTCCCTCATTTAATTCATACTGTAAAATTATTCAGGTTTATCTTGCTATAACAATATTTGTGTTAATTTGCTATACAAAAATCTCCACTAGCACCCCATACTATCTTACTTATCTTGTTTGCCTACAAGATAAGGTACAGACCTCTTTACTAGGCCTAGTGTAGTGAGATCCTACACTAGTTGTTTCTGATTATTCTCTCCAAATCTGTTTGTCACTTGCCCAAAAATAAGCCTTCTATCCCATCCAGTCTGTTCTCATCCCCATCATCCTTATTGTCCTGGGTTCCTGCCTACATTTGAATCTTTCTGTATTCATCCCTCTATTCCCTCCATCTATCATCTTCAGTCTCTAGAGCCCAACACAAATCTTGCCTCTTACCATTGGCCATGTAGCCCATCCAAATCTAGTGGAATTTTTAACATGTGAATTCACAAACATGCCACTCTTTAGGAGTGATGATTAAGAAACCATTAACAAAAATCATTAACAAAATATTAACAAAAGACTGCACCTGGCTCTTAAGTGGTGTGTCTTGTCTCTTAACCAGACTGGAAGAGTCTTAAGGATAAGCACTGTATGTCTTCCGTGGTTCCTACAATCCTGGTACCTAGTAAACACTCAAAACGTATTATAGAGTTAATTCATTTTCCTTGGCATCTGGAGATCTCAGATGTTTCTAAAGAGCCTTCCATAAAAACAAATAGTCTAATGATAAACTACAGAGCTGAGTCCATGACATTTATTAAATAAGTGACTCAACAGAT